ACATCAATAGCTGGGGCAGCAGCAACAGCAGCAACGACAGGGCAAGGTGTAGTTTATGTGTCCCTGTTTTTGGTTTCCTGAGCTTTTGAGACCTCAGGGAAAGAGGACCTGAAATTACCCCTCGGAAAGAGGGCTTGAAATTACCCTTCATGAGAGAGAACCCACTTGAGATTTCCCGTGATTTTAGAGAGGTAGAGAGCTCACTGAGAATTTAGATAGGGAAAGCACAAAAACCCACTGAGATTTTAGAGAGTTCACTAATATTTTAGAGAGGGAAAACACAAAAACCCACTAAGATTTTAGAGAAGCCACTGCAGGTGGAGAGACCACTGAGATTTTAGAAAGAAAAAGCACAAAGAACCCACTTAAGATTTTCGATGACCTAAGATTTTTGGCGGCGGCCTCCTAAAGAGAGAGATGGAGGGTAGATTTTGATTTTAAGATGTGTGTGGTGAGAGAATACAGCTCTATTAAGGGAAGTAAAGGATTGCGGAGCTTTGATACCATATCAAACTCCCAAAACCCTAGAGAGGGAAAGAGAAGCCCAAAAACAACTCATATATTTTAGGATAAAAAATAAAATAATTATCTTATACAATGTTATGAATAAATACCTCATAATGAAAGACAGTAAAAAGACAATCTCTATTTTAACACATCCTTGTTAACATCAATCTACCTCTCTAACATATCTAGGAGCACTCAATCTGTCGTAACTAGGATCTTTGGGTTTGAAGCCAGCGGGAGCAACGTACTCAAGCAGAAGGCCGCACAGGAGGGGCCCCCCAACACGTGTTGTGGCGATCTCAGCATTATTGTGAGAGTGTACCTTGAGGGCACGTGCAGCTCAAAATCTGGTTGATTAAAATTTATTTTTACTTTTGTTATTTTTATTTTAGAAGTTATGGGTATATTTTATTAGGATCAATTTTGAAAAATAGGATTAGTATGGGTTTTTTGGTTTGATTGATAAAATCCGTCTTTATAGATTGAGTCCATGTATTTTTGGCATGACAATCTTTAATTTGATAAAGTCAATCTAGGGTTTGATAAGTGATTATATTTCTTTCGATTGTAGTAAATATTGGAAGCAAATCTTTGGATCAGTTTTAGAGTTAGCTTCAAGATTAATGTGGGTAGAAAAGAGGTTTACTAACTTTTTGTAGGCAAATCTTTAGGAACATAAAAAATTATTTTAGAAAGATTTTGGGATGGGAGATTGTGATGCTTGGTTAAGTCATTTCCTTATAAGGACATTTTATTTGGAAGGAGCTTTCAAAAGCACATTTTTAATGCACAAATAGGAGGTACGTACCATGTATTAGGGGGTTTGAATTTGATGAATGGCAAAAAAAAAGTGATATTTGAAATTGTGTAGAATGAGAGGAAGAGTCCTTTGTAGATGTTTTTCTTCTGCTTTGCTTATGGGCATATATTGGAATACTCGTATTCATGCTTTTTGTTATTTCTCCTTGTGCTTTCCGTTAGGAGTTTTATTTCTGTCTTAAATGTGGTTAATTTTGCTGATGTTGTTTGCTAGTATAAAAGTGTCATGAATGAAACAGATCAAAATCTTGTTGATTAAAATTTTATTTTAGATTTTGATTTGCATCACTTAGGCTCGAAAGGTTCTACCGTAGTCTAGCAATCTCATGAAGGTTCTAGTGGGTTTCCAGATGCATCCTAAGGGCTGAATTGTATGAGGGGCTCTAGGGCGTTATAAAGGCCAGAAGGTTCCTAGTCGTTGGATGTGTGCCATGTGAGTAATTTTTTAAAGTTAATTATAAAGTCATGAGTCAATATAAGGAGGATGACCTTTCATTTGTAATAGCCTCAAAAGATTGAGGAATACTCAAATCTCGTAATCAATAAATCGACTTAGTGGATCTTTAAAGGCTCTTAAGCTAACTCATGTGTCCCTCTCTTGTGGTGTGTTTGATTTCTATCTTTGTATGTGTAGTACATACAAGGTCGTGGTGCTAGTGTGGGTAGTGCATACTAAGTCTAGCTGCCACCAAGTGTGATTGGCACGCGGTTGTTTCAATGTTTGGGAATGCAGACTCGTCCTTGACGGATCAAAGAATGAGTGTTGTACGGTTGGAACGCGGGGCTTCAACTAGAGTCGGGACATAGTTATCTCTTAAATTCCATTGTGTTTTAGTTGCTATATGAAACTTAAAAAATAGAATAAAATAAAAATATAATAAAAACTAAACGGTGTGGTTCCATAAGCCTGCAACCTTAAACAATCCATTTAAGGCGCACCTTCAAACTTTATAATAACATATAATTTTGATGTAAAATATTTTTAAGATTATCTCAAAATCTATTTTCAAATCTAATTATAAAATTTTAAACTCCAAAAATGATTAAAATTAAGTAGATCTATAAACATATGAAACTCTTGACAATGGACAGTCTAGATAATGTGTTGTAAGATGCACCATTTTTGGGACTCAAAATCTTTTTTTTTTATGGTCATACATCTCGACATCGAGATAATCAATTAGAGGGTTTTCCAACATTAAAACAATCTTTACTATGGAATTTTTAGGTGCATCCGTAGTTCTACATTTTAAGGTTGTAACCTTATATAAACTTTTCTCAAACCTATATAAAATAATAAGAGACGACTAAATAATATAGTAAGCAAAAACTCCATATCTTCGGAAATGTGCATTAGATTGTTTTTCAAATATCACTTTTTTAGGTAAAAATATATATTTGCATAAGGAAAATCCACTACCTTTTAGTAAATATATCAGCTCACATCCCCGGTTATTTTAGATGCCTGTAAAATTAAAATAACTGTAAAATTGTTATACTTTGGATATGCAACAAAGTCCACTGGATTTTAGTAAGTACACATATACATCAAGCTCATCATGGTAAAGCGACTAATTTTTCAGGTATCCCTAGTTTTTTGCACTAATTTACCGGAGATGCCTTCAAAATATAACATTTTGGGGTTAGACATACGGATCAAGCTCAGTTCTAAAACCACTAATTTTTCAGGCATCCCCATTGGTTTACACTAATTTAAAGGAGATGCCTGAACGTTGTTATATTCTGCAACTGACTTTTAGTTTAAGTGCACATATCGATTAAAAGGTTCCTCTTGTCAACGAAGTTGACTGTGAATGTCCGTAGATCCACCATCATCAAGCCATCCTCTGCGACTCCTCATCTCCATTGCTTGAAGCTCTCCTTGATAGACCAACTTGAACTAGTAATTTTTAAGTCAAGTTGTCTTCTTTTACCATGCTTCTCGTGAGAGCAAGAGAGATGGCTATGCAGAAGATTATGTTTGCAAGCTGAAGAAGTCGTTATCAGATGTATTAGCCTTGTTTTATCTGCTCTCCGGGACCATAGCCAGTGATGATATTCGGACTGTCTATATCAAGTGCGACAATAAGGGTGGCGAGTTTAGAAAAGTAGAGGGAGGAGGTGAGCTGCTGCATAAGCTATTAAACCACACATCGAAAAAGGAGTTATGCAAAATCTTATTTCTGTAAATTAAAAAATTTAAAATACAAATGAAAATGCCCATTGTCTTGAGTTGGAATTGCGCCAAAAGGGTAACTTTTCGAATAATTCATGTCCCAAGGATATTTTAATAGGAAAGTATATAATGAGACCATTTACTTTTTCTACAAGGTGATTACAATTAATGTTGACCATTGGATGTGAAGTTAGGTGGATGCATTTATTTCATTGATCAAGCTCAAAGTTCAAACGAAATTTTCTCGAACTTTGTGACATATCCAAGCTATTGGATTTCACATCGGAGCATTATAAGCACTGTTCAAAACAATAGATTAGGCCGACCAGTCGGTCCTAGCCCGATCCGATTAATCTGACCAATTCCAACTAGATCGGTCGATTAGTGCCTTGATTTTTTTGAAAAATACAATTTTGGTAAAGAAATTCCAAGAAAATTGAAAAAAAAATGTTTAAAAATTTACATGTACTATTTTTTATAATGTCGCATAAAATATATATTATAAGCATAATTGGCCTTCGGAAAAAATGATTAGGCACTTGAAGCAATACTTTTTCAGTGATCAATATATAATAAATATATATTAATATTATATATTATATATTATATATTATATATTATATATAATATGTAATCAATATATGCTATATAATATAAATTTTATTAATAAAATAAATATATATATATAAATGTATAATATAATATGATATAATATTATAAAATATTATAATATTTCAACTCAATAGCATGTTTGATTTTTTTGTATTTTGGAATTCAATTAAGGTAAAGTATAAGATTGCTTTCATTTTGTGAAAATTTTGATAAATTTTCATCGCTCTCTCTCACACATATATGAGTCTATGTGCCCCTCTAGGGGTTGGTGGTGTGGGCTTGGCACCCTGTCACACTCAACCAACTCTGGTGTGTTTGAGTCTACTTGCCCAAGGCGGCAAACCCTGCCGTTAATAAATAATAAATAATAAATTTGTAATAATATATAAAGTCTTATGTAGAGAAATAGAAGAATAAGGAAAAAAAAATAGAAAGGAAAAATATATAACGACAACTTTGCAGATTCTGCATTAATGATAGTGCACTTATCTGCTTATTTTTAGAAAAAATTACCGATTAGTGCCGATTAATGCCGATTAGTCCGATTAGTCGGCCGATTAGTGCACTGAAAAACAATTCCTGCATACATGATCGTTGGAAACAGGCCAAATCCGAATCGGCTAGTAACCAATCTCGAGTTAGTAGAGCAATTTTTTTAAAATCAGCCGATCTTTTAAACATTGATTATAAATAATTGTGAGCTCGCTATTTCAAATGGACTTATTGTATACGATCCCTATTTTTAACAAATTTTCCTTTTTTATAACTAAACGTGAAGTCTAGGGTGGTCTTATTGGACGACCCATGCAGCACTAAGCTCCTAATAACTTCGCCAATATTGACAGAAGAGGAAAGCGAAAAAAAAAACGTTAGGTCTCGGGTGGTCTTATTTCGACATACGGAATGCCTTTGTTACAAACACAGAAACACAATTACATGTAACCACGATAGCATTCAAATTATCCAACATGGTTAGGATCATGATGACATGACCGCTTCGAGAGAAGTGGAAATGAAAGCCTAAGTGACTCTCTAGAAAGAAATGGCAAACAGGTTCAGAGCCTGGCGTGATGGCGAGCACCTTGAAAGAAACATTGTTAGGGTCCCTGTTAGAGGTGTCCAAGTGACAAGCTGAAGGAAAGATCTATGTGACCTTTTATCGAGGAATATAATTTTTTTTTTTTTTTATTTCACTTATTTTGCTTTGGCGAAAGACCACTTACCTGTAGTATTATTACAACGACAAATATATCAAAATAAAATCAACATAACAATAAAACAAAATCATAATAACTTGATGTCATTGAAACAACTAAATACTATGCTTGAGAATATAAAGATAAAATTGCAAGAAACAAAAATAGAAGATGTCGGAGATTACCTCGACCGGGTTTATACAACCCACACCGAGTCACCACTATCCAATGGCATAGAATCAACGGTCTAGCTTTAATCTCGAACCGAAAAAGCACATTTCGGCCAAAACTGTATATGCACCCTTATATCTCTACAAGCTCAAAACCTAACTCCAAAGTATTTTGACTTGTCCCCACATTACCCAACCCTTAGAATATTTAGGATGAGAGAGAAAAGTTAGAACCCTAGGGTTGGGGAGAGCCCCTCTATGGGTTAGGAGAGAGAGAGACAGAGAAAGATAGAGGAGAGAGAGTGGGGCATGTCCTTATGGGAGAGAGGAGAGAGAGTCGTGGGAGAGAGAGAGAAAGGCGTAGAGAATACAGGGTACACCCCTATTTATAGTACAAAATTAGGTTTAGGGTTTCTCATAGTTTGTCTCTTTTGTTGAGATTCAAGGTAACTTATGGGGTGAGAGATCTGAACCATCCATTTAATAGATGGGTCATCAATATTATGGAAGGTGAATGGACTATTATCTCCCTTTCCTTAACTATTTTCTCATCAATAAAAAATAAATAAATTAAATCTAAGTAAAATATTATGTATTCCATAAAATAACATAATTTTTCTCATACTTTCACAAAATCTTCCAAAGATATATCAAGTCAATATTCACTTTCAATATTTGGTCAATAGATGGTCAATATATTCCCATAAAAACTTCCAAGATTCTCAAGTCAAAAATTCAAACCATATCTTTCCAAGTCACATGGCTTCATATGGCCATGTGAAACAATATAAAAAAATGGAAAGTACTAAAAGGGTGGGGCGTGCCACCCTAGTGGGGCAACATGGGCCCACCTTTTAGAACATAGTAGGCCCATGTGCACAATGGGCCTTTATGAAATTTTATTTTATATTTTAAAAATAATAAAAGATGTTTTAGAATATTTATTTGAATATTAAAATATTGTAAAATCAATATCTTTTATTTTATAAATCCAAATATTACAAATAAAATATCAAATGATTCATAAAAATTCAAATAATAATTCTAAAATAATTTTTATTATAAAACAAACATAATTAAATTAATTTGATGAGAAATGGATCTATATGACTTAGGAATTCAATCAACAATCATGGGGCACTCCACCTTCAACTGTGGACTATATGTCACACTTGCTTTATCGAGTCGACCTAGTATTTCCCATGACCCACAGTCCAAGCATGGAATCATTAGCAGCACCAATGTCTGGCCGAAGAGCTAAAGGGTCGCAATCCCAGTCTGTGGATTACGGGTCATCCCTTAGAGACGAGTCAAAATCACCAAGACCTGATGCGACCACATCTCTATGGTGCACAAGGGTATCTCTCGCACATGCATACGCTTCACCCTAAAAGCTGACTTTCTTGCTTTCTTGAATAATCTATCGATATGCATGCCGTATGATGAGTCATGGATGAGCCTTTGGCCCTCGTCTTTGTGGGCCACCATCACACACAAGAGTCACACAGTCCCTCGGCTCATTCATCCAGGCATAAGCTCCGACCTCATAAAGGGATAACCCAGAACCCTTCTCGATTTATTCTCTATGCCCAGGTAACATGGGTTTTTCCCAACTGACTGGCCTATATCATCAAGCACAATTCGGGATTAGTAAGCATCGTTTTTTTAATATGGTCCATGAGGGACCACACTCCTAATGAGTTCATGTTCCACTACATCAAATATTTTTATTACACACTCATAAAGCCTTTAAAGGCCACCTTCTAGCTTCAGCATCAAGACCGTGGTTTTAGCCACGGCATGGCATTGAAACACAGTAAATGGGTAACTAATTGGATGACATACTGGCATATATGGTGGTGTTAATCGAAGCAGAATCTCTTTCACAATGTAAGAGTGCCAAGGGGAGGACGATTCTCTCCAATGTACAAGGTAGCTGCCAACACTTGGGGTTTAGCTTTAGGCCCCAAGATCGATGAGACAAAGTCATGCATGGGCACGAGGCTTGTGGCACAAAACTTGTGTTCGCTCCTTTGTGGGGGAGACACACACATGTGAAGGCTCCTTGCTACTTTCTTAGCTAGAGGTGAGTCCAAAGGGATCGAGAAGCGATGCAACATATCAACGAGTGAAACTGATGCAAAGGGAATGGAGTCGACTTCTTGGTGTGCTAGAGGGGAGGTCGCTGCCAACGTTTTATCAACCATATTGTAGAGGTCAAATTTGTTTCCAACCTTGAGATCCTTCTCATTGAAGAAAATAATGGCGGGTCCTGGACTATACGAGCTAGAGTGGTGATGGTTTGGTTGTATTAGAATGTGAGTCTGTTTCTTTGACACTGCTTTCAGGCTCAAAATCCTTTGTGGATGCTGTTTGAGAAGAACTTAGGGGATGGTGAGATATGGTGTTGCCATTTTCATCTTTTTTTTTTTTGCATAATTATGGTACAAGAGAATATTCTCAGGATCAAAGCCCTTTGTAGACAGGGTCTTTTGTTTGGCATAATTATGGTAAAAGAGGATATTCTCAAGATCAAATTCCATTTGTTGGGTCACTGTAGCAACCGCGACCCAACAAAAGGGCAAAAGAGGCTAAAAGGGAAAAGCGTAGGAAAGGGGGTCAATAAGAACAAAGCTAGAGGAAGGACAAGAGAAGAAAACGGAGGGAGAAAGAGAAGGTGAGGAAAATCGTAGCTATCTCTCCAAAAAACTGTACTTGGCCAAAAAATCGAAAAGTTGGAGCCTCAAAAGGAAACTCCAACCTCCACAACAGGGTTCTTAGTGAACGAGCCCATCTTAAGTGTTAACCTAAACTGGCCTCATATATGACCTTTCAGTCCCCTGAGAAGCCCCAAAAGTCCCAAAAAAACCCATGACAGGATACCAAATCCCAGAAGGATCACTTCATCTTAGACCTTAACCTTACTAAGGGGAGATAAGAAGGAAAAAAGAGAGAGAGGGGTAAAAAGGACAGCATATGCTAGGCCAGCCAACAGGTGTATTGGCTGGGTGTGGTTATGGGCTGGGCTAGAGCAGCTCAAGGAATTGTTTGGGCCTAGGATGGGCCTGTATTTGGCTATAGAAGTGCGGGTCAGGCTCAGCCTATTGGCAGCCCATTCCCTTGCTGTTCAACTAGTGAAAGATGATTGGGGTGTGTCACCCTATGCTGATAAGTGAGGATTATGAATTGGAATCACTCACCCTAACCATCCTTTTTTACATCGGATGTCTAGGAAGTGCGCGTGACTGTAGCGAACAGGAGTGTTGTCTTTGTGTGTGTCTATAACATGTAAAATCGCCAAGCATCAAACACATGACAATGAAATATATTGAGGTACAGTAGCTCTTTTAACCCAATTGTTGTCACAAACAGGTTCAACGAAACAATCAAATATTTTAGTATAAACTTTTATATGGCAGCACCTATAGTTAAATTATGAGTCTCGGTTCTTTCAGCCATCCGATCTAAATCGTTCCTGTTACTATCCCGAACAGGTGGGGAAACATCTAAAGACCAACCAAACAAGATCGAAACGCTTTGAAGACGGTTGATCTCAATTCTAGGCTTGGAAAATTAAGATTGATCAATGGTAGTGGAGAAAACTACTATTATAGTGAGCAACTAATCTGGCCATCAAGAGCAGGTTTGATTGGACTCAAAAAATTGCAAAAGATTAATGTTTGGACCGAGTTTATTGGGCCAATTTTAGGCATGGCCATGACCTTTGGGCCAAATTCAGTAGCCTAGGCACTATTTAGGGTCGTACTTTTTTCTTAATTCATAAAAGAACTTAAAAAAAGGCCAGGCCGGATCATGAACCTAGGTTCAATCTTGGCCTAGACGGAAGGCCTAGATTTTGGGTCCGAGCTTGCTGTCGGGCCAACTTTAGTCGCCTGGGGCTAAGCTATATACGGTCATACCACCCCTACCCATTGCCATATTTAGTGATAGTCGTAAGGCAAAAAATTTACTATTTAGACCGGTGTTTCAAATATCGACGGTCCGACTCGGAAACGCCTAACTCAAACTGTAACCAAGAAGTAGTCGATCTGATTTTATGGTTAACTCATAACTCGGCCAAATAGACCTAAACATTGTGTTAAAGAAGTTTTTTCTATAAGGGAAAAGTTTGTATAGAGCCTAGGCTCTAACAATCAAATGAGAGCCTACAACAAAAATTTCACTATAAGATGTTGTTTTGATCCTCAAATATTATCAAATTGATCATCTAGACATCAAGAAGCATGGATATGAGAAAAAAATGGATTTCAATTTTTGAAAATAGTGCATATTGTAACATATTTTTGGACCATCAATTTTCAAGATTTTTAAGTTTTCATAAATTGCTCAATCTACACTATTTTTGTAGCTTTAAAGTTTATAATTAAATGTGCAAATATATTTTAAGGCTATCACAAAAATTGCCAATATTGAAACCATATATATATATATATAGTCGTGGAGGCAAGGCACACAGGGGATAGG